GTTACTATTTTCCTGATCTGGTAAACACAGTTGCAGACGATTCTGCTTGGCAAGCTGAAGCTATTAAGCTACTAGGAGAGGACATTGTAGCAGCATTGTATCTGTCATGAAAGCCTTACAACATTAAGTAACCTGGACCATCATCCCTCTAATAGGTAACAGCAATCATTCTCCCCTGGCCAGTCTTTTCCTCTGGGCAGCTGACATGGCACGTGTTACATCTGAAGGGGCTTTACCCAACACAGCCGAGGATCCTGAGTCTATTTCCTAAGCTCTCTGTGTTCGCTCCTCTCGTTCACTTCCCTCAAGTCAACCTGTGGCAGCTGTGCTAAAAACTAAACGCTTGATACACTATGACCAAATAAATCCTGCTGGAGTTATCCCTGCAGGGGAAGGTGGCATTGACAAGCTATGCATTTTTGCAGCATTAGAGAGTTCAGTAGCGTTCCTGACTACTGAGCAGCATGTTGCCAGCAGTAGTGTGATGGAGAACTCTTCTGTGGGTAGGAATTTATCAAATCAGTACACATGGCTGAGCTGAGCCTAAAGCCATACTAGAAATGAATTGAAAATCAGGCTGTAGCAACAACTTAAATGTTCTGTGTGGATTTGCAATTGACCCTGTGCTGTACAGAGAATTACAGAGCTCATCTCTTGCAAGTAATCAGGGAAGTGGCACTGGCTGCTTGCATGTCTTTGAGCATAGGTTGGGAAAAGGCAAAAAAAACCCCACCAAGCAAAACAACCAACACACACACACCACACACCCCACCCCACCCCCCAACCCTGCACAGCAAATAGCTTAGCAAGAAAAGAAACATTCAGCCCCAGGAACTATGTATAAATAACATGAGAAAATCTCAACAGGTTATCTGGTCAGCTCTTGCCAATTTAGAGAACACGTGAACATAACAGGATAATCAAAGGGCAGAATATCAGGTTCCACTTGGATCTGAAAACAGAATAAACCTGTGCTTGAACTTGAGTAAGCAAGCTTTCAGGGGATAGCCATAGCCACATGATGGTTCGGGCTTGGGGCAGAAAGGTAGTAAGTATTTTAGAGCACAGAATAGGAAGACTGGTGATCTGGATTTAGACTTTTTTCCCCTGACCATGCCATGGCTCCTGTGACCTTTGAAGAAAGGGTGGTGGGTGTTTGGAGCTTTTTTTCTTGGGGGTTGAGGGGCAGGGGCTGAGTGGCAGACCACTTGTTTAAGGTAAACTCTGGGCCAAACTGAAGTCAGCAGCTTAGATGGTGACAAAATGTACCCCACACCTGCTTATGAATTCTCTGTGTCAGAAAAACTGTTTTGAAAGACAAAATTATTGGGTTTTGTTCTATTAATGGCTCCTTATTTAAAATTTCTCAACCTCTCTAGTGGTCTCAGAACATATTTGAAAAAAAAAAAGATATTTTGAAAATACTTAGGTCCATTTTGGTGTCTAATTCCCTTTAAAATCATTTGGAGTTATGGAACAAAGAGTTAGGCTCCTAGAATAGCCACTATCTGTAAGTTTATTCGTTGCATCTAGTCTGTTCTCTTATAGATTAACACAGGCATGAACAGAAAGTCTTGTTCTCTTCCACCATTTTCCACTAGGTTGCTTTGTGAGTTCAGATGAGTTGCATAACCACCTTAATCTCCAGTTTCTCAGATAAATGAAAACTCTAGCTTCCTCCCAGCTATGTTCTTTGTAGGTAATGCAAATAGCAAAGCATTGCATTCAGTCTTTAAGAACTAGTTCACTTGTGCACATACAAAGGTATAGGGTACACCCTATCAATTCCAAATGAAGATCACTTTTGTAGTACCCATAAGGCTCAGTCTCTACCCCTTCACCATACTCTCTGCCAGAGCGTGTAAGACGAAGGTCAGCTGACCAGTCTGGTCCAGTTCCTCTCAGCTGCACAGCAGTGATGGAGCACGTCATTCGTCACCGTTTTCTCATGGTGCAACATCAGTCTTCACATTCTGGTGAACATCAGGAATTTTCTGTGTGACTTTCTAATGTCACCTTTCAGCATCAGTAACTGTTCAGAAGCTGTTTCAACATCAGAAGCTTATATTACAGACTTCTGTCATTTGCACAGGTGAACCCACAAGTTTGCAGCTAAAGCACTAAACAGCATGAATTAATTTGTCCATCATCCAGATATCACATCTCCTCTAGTATTCCTTCTCATCTCCTGTAGGGCAGTTTGAAACATAAGACACCTTGAAGATCGTTTCATGCCATGGAGGGAGAGATTTCTTTCTAATAATCCAAGTTCTTCAAAATCCACATTAATTTCTCACTCACTCTACCTTCTCCTTCAGCATTTTCCTGGGGTGATCTGTTCCTCCTTTCCTCTATGATGGAGAGGGAATTGAAATATAGTTGGATGTGTTTTGACCTGTGAATGCTGTGCTGTGAAAGCACATACTCTCAATTGATGGAAAGTATGTACATTTTTAGGGTAATGTGTGTGTGGAGCATGCTGTTCAATTAACTCCTGTTCCTAGAAAGTAATCTTTCTTTTGCTTTCCCCCTAACTTCTCCTTTTTGGAATTCAACAGGGGAGCCCCTAACATGACCCAGTCTTACCACCTGGCCTATGTACAACTCTGATCATTTTACATTTGTTTATGTAGAAATTTGCTTTCACTGTTTTGCCAAAGACAGAGAACAAGTATTGACTGGAGAAGATCACTACAAGGGCCAGCTTAGTAGAATTAAAGGAATTGATGAGGTAATGTAATATGTTTTCTGTGCCCTTTTTTGTTTTCTGTTATTCACATACAGGCTCAAGAGGGAAGATGCATTTTAATTAAAGCACACAGTTCATCTGGCATGTGTATGTCTTTGAGTACATTCACAAGGGATGGCTAAACTTTAATTGCGGAGGCTCCATAAAAGTTGAGGAATGGGACCAAATTCATATTTTCCTTCAGAAGAATTATCCTTTTGGACATAATTTTAGTACTAGAGAGAAGCTTAAAATCTAGAGTGGAAAGAAACCGAACTATATCTGATGAAGTGCGGATTCTAGTGTATACGTGCAGTCAGGATCAATATTAGGGAGAAATGCCATCTGTGAAGTTGTAAGCTAGTTTTAAACTTTGTCAGCATCAAGGTCTCTGTATCACTGTGTTTGTGTTTTGCCCTCTCCAGTTTGCATTAGGAAGATTGGATAGAAGTATATATTTAGCAATAATTTATTAAATATTTGATATGTTAACGAGGTGATACATAAAAGATATTAGCCTTACCGAATGCAAACATTTCTTTTTCACATATTTAGCATTCTGGCATTTACTTAATGTTATCATAATAGCAGTTGATAGTGTCAAGAGAGATTTCCTTCCAGATTATTAGCTTCAAAATGCTAGCAAAATGTGATGGACTGTACATACATTTGCTTAAAAAAACACCCTCATATTCTACATTCATCTGCAGAGAGGGGAAGAAATATCTGTCCCTTTAAAACTATCTCCCAGAGCAAAGAAATGTTGATGCTCATTTATAAAATATGACCAGCAGATTGTTATTACTGGCTTTTTGAGACTGAGAATAGCAACAGTGCTGAGGACAATATTCATAGATCAGAATGCCAGAAATGGTGTGTTAACTTGAATCAAACATTATAAATTATTGAGAACTGCTGTTTTTGCTATCTTTTCAGTTCTTAAAATATTCCTTTTTTCATGGAAAATCTTGAAGATAAGGGTTCAATTTCTCCCATGGAGTATTTCTTCTAAAGAGTGTTTATTAAGGGAAGTTCTCTGCACAATCTGTGGTGAAGTGTAGATAAAAACAAAACCCCCAGGAATAAATATCCTTATTTTCAAGGATTGTAACAAGTCTTTACATTTTTGTTACAAGTCTGTAACTTTTTTGTTCATACTCTTGAAGACCATTTCAAACGATCTTTTCCTCTTGCAGTCAACACTGAAGCCTGTGCCAGAATTCATTGTAACACGTGGAAAGCTTAGGATGTACTTTCTTCCCTATATTCTGTAAGGGTGTCTTTGCCATTTTTGTTAAAACTATAGGATCTACTAGCGATAGCTAGCAATTCCAAAGAAGCCATGGTGTGGGGCCATTTCCACCCAGTCCTTGTCTGTGCTCAGAGAGGATCTTTCTTAGGTCATGACTATGAGTACTGCTTTTTCTGAGACTGCTTGTATCTTTTTGTGAAACCATATGAGAGCCTTTGAAACAAGAGTAAAGAGACTAGATGTGGAACATAAACAGTGTAAGGTTTGATGTTGCAACATTTAGCAGAAAATACTCTGACCGAGTATGAGCAGGGAGCTGTGAAAATAAGAAAGACAGGGTAATGGACTGAGTTGGATGATGCAATAACGATAGAAGCAATGTGGGAACCTGAAGGATTATCTAAAGTGAAGATTTCAAAACACAGCTAAATTGTGTGAAACCAGTCTGTTGCCTGCTCTGGATGGTGACTTCTCATTGCAGCAGAAGGGAGTTTCATGGACCACTCTTTTTTCTATCTCTAAAGGATTGGAATGTGTCTGGGATCGTCCCAGAACTGTGAAGTCTCTAGGCTGGACAGATTGAGAGAGAATTTTATAAAGTAGAGTAAATTACTAAAGCAGTTTAAATAGGCCAGAATTTTACTTTATTCCCTGCACAGTGACTCACATGAAACAATAATTTTCCAACAAGTGCATACTAGATTTATTGGAAATTAGATTCCATTTTTTGAATAAAGTGAATGTTTACCATTTTTAATGTAATTGTTCTTCAATGTCATTTGTCACCATCAGAGGAAAAATATACGTTAGGAAGCTGGTGCAAAAATACTGTGATATTTCTATGCATGTTTTGCAATACTATTTATTTTATGAAATTTATGTGCTTTCTGTGGAGGTACCACTGCAAGACTATAGCAGAGGCTGAGACTTGAAATCTGGATCCTAGTCTTATCTTTGTTATAAGGCTTGGACTCTCTACACCCCATGACAGAGGACTGCAGGAATTGGGCCAAGCCAGGAGCACAGGCCCTTGTGCTGTTCAGTGCACTTTCAAAAGTAATTCAGATCTCAGATGAGTCCACAGGTACTCTGTCTAAAAAGGTCATCCATGCTCTCAGTCATTCCATTTAAGTACCTAAAAGTAAGTAAAATGAATCTTGATGAGAATGAGTCATTACATGGTTTAGAATGAAATTAGCGATATTGGCCACTGTAACAAAATATGTCTGAATATAGTACTCACTCACAAAAATAGCCAGTATTTGATCCAAGAGGTTTAGATATAGTATTCAATATTGTTTTGTAATACTTGCATTGATGTTATTTTTGACCACCATTATAATGGTGCTTTTGCCCTAAGAGGAAAATCCTCATGGCTTTAAAATTTACTCCTGCTTTGGGATTTCAGATGCCCACTTTGAAAACTCTGTGATACTTCAGGATTTACTCTGTAATCACTGACAGAAGTCAGATTTGTTCAGGGTCTTAGTTCCACTTGTCTAGCACTAGGAAACATCAAGCAGTTAGCAGTACTTTAATTTTACAGAGCTGATGAGCATCCATAGCTCCTCTTAAAGTCACCAGAACATGTAACTACTTGTACTTCCAATAACTGGGTTCTGGCCTAATGTGTTTCAGAGTGAGACATTCAAAAGCTGAAGTACATAAAATTAGTAGCTGTTTTGCAACTTTGATCTCTTCCTCATGTGTAAAACTCATCTGCTATAAAGAAATAAACTGAGGATATAGACTTCTGAAAAGAGAACTATGAGCTCTGCTGCACACCATTTATTTTCCTATTACTCTTTGAATATTGTTTATTTGACATGTTGTATATCTCCTTGCCTCCCCCTCCTTTTTATTTTAATTGGGACCTGGTTATTGGCTGGAAATTCCACTAGCATGACTCATCCTTGCGCTGGAAGTGACTGTGAACAGGCATCACATTGTGCGATTCACTTCCCTGCTCTTTTTTTTTTTTTTTCCCCTAAATGCTTTATCGTGGCACGAGCTTGTAATAATAAACTAGGAAGGAAGTTGGAGATAATAATTTGGTTTTGAATGCACAACCCCTGCCAAATTTCCCCACAGGCATGAAACAGCCGCTCAAGCTGTGACACCAGCAAATTAAATCCTGGAGGTAGCTGACCAGAAGTAATGAAATGTGTATTTACCATACTGATGCTGTCAGTCCTAAGACACACTGGCTTTACAATCTAGTTAAGTGGAGCATGTTTGTCACTTCCAGTGCTGTTTAGGAAAAATACTCAGGTTTTTCCCTAGCTGCCTTCTCAAAATCACAATCTCAGTGCTGGCTGGTAATGCTCACCTCATACAACGTGAAGAATAGGATGCCCAGAATGGTCTGTTCTTTTAAAACACTGCCAATGTGAAATACATATCCCAAAGGAGATAAGTGATCTCATGACATGTTAATTGCCAAGCCTTTTTATTCATCCCTTATCTACCACTTCATTCTATAAACCAAACTGTAGAGCTGAAATGAAAGAATAAAAATTATTTCAGGAGCCAACAGATAATAAAGAACAGAACATGCGTCCCATGCATGCAGCAGTTTAAAAGCCTGGGCATGTACAGGTGTGTGGAAGAGAGCCACATAATCACTGAAAAGAACAGGTACCACTCAAGAGAGGGATGCATTATGCAGATGGGTGCAGACATGGGATGGATGAGCCACACATCTACTGAAGAGTTGTCACTCAAAAAATGCCTGTGCATCATGACAGCAGCAGTTCAAAAGCATCTGGACACAGGCACGTGAAGGAGGGAGGCTATCATTTCACAATCCCCCCATGCTGAGGCGAGAAGGGACTCAGAAAGTTGGTTTCCCTAGTTAGATGTTGTCATAGGTAACAATAGCATATGTCAGAGAGGTTTCCATGTATTTAGCTAGCAGAGGCTTGTTATGCTAATTGTGTGGAAACTACTGAAGAAGATTAGTGAATCATTTGATGAACAGTACTTGCTGTGAATTCAAGAAAACATTGCAAGGGAAAAAATGAAAATACCGTCTTCAACATAGTTAATACAATACCCATGGAAGAATCAAAGAAAAAAATCACACCCTATATGAGCAGTGTGCAGTGAAAACATCTAATTATATCCTAGGAATGTCTACAGCTCTGCAATTATATGCTTAATTTCCAGCTGTACTTGATTAACATCACAAATGATTTATAATACCACCAAACACAAGGAACTTGCTTTGAACTGTTTGTTGGCACGTATGAATTTGTTGGGCTCTTTTTGTCTGTCTGTTCATAGCAAGGTAGGCATGTTGAGTTAGTGCCACACAGTTCAGCAGCAAAGCTGAGCAAAGGCTAGAGTAATTTTAGAGAGAACACCATTCTCTTTCCTCTAGTGAAGCATTCAAATGCAAGTCTATGGAAGGTCAAAACACGCTGACTTCTATGGCGTTGTACATGCGCTTTAAGCTTAATATGTAGAAATAACCTTGCTGAATTGGGTCTGTCATTCCTTGCTTGGTCTTGGAAGACAAACGTGCTTTCTGTGATACAATAGCGCACATGCTTCTGGACAGCCAGTCTGGGGGTGCTTTCCTTCTGTCTTCCCACATCAGGAGCGCTGAGGCAGGAATCATTCCACATTTTCTCAGCGCGGGGAGAAAGGAGATGAAGAAGGATAAAAGAACCTCTACTTGTTTTTGAACAGATCTAAACATAACTCCTAGTTAAAAGTTTGAATCTGTGTGAATCCAAATGCTGGATCAAGATTTAAGGCAAAATACAAACACTTGAAATGTAGTATTTTGATCTACTCAAGGGTAAGCCTGTTGAATTCAGCTGAGCCTAAGGAAAACACATGGAAGCTTTTGCATAATTGCAGTCTTACATTGCAAACCTTTTTGAGCAATCAGTCTGCCATCTGTGAAAAATTACCCAGACTTCCACACCAAAGTATTCATCCATTGATAACATTGGCTTGTATCATTTTAGCAACTTAAAAGTCATTTTCTAAAAGACTAATCAAAGCAAACCTCAAATCAGCAGCTGAAGTTGCATTGCCTCTATTGTTGGTCTCAGGCTTGAAGCTGTGTAAACTGGTTATCCTATTTGTGCTGGGCTTGTTATACACTTATTACCTTGTTCTCATGTCATGTCACCCGAGTGAGTTTGCTTAGGTCCTTTCTTCTCAAGCCTACAGTTTTGCCTATAGGGTGATACAACCTTAGGTACACTGGGAAATCTCAAAGCCCAATGATAAAAGCATAAATATATGTCAAGGCAAACTATTGTTATTTAAAATCTTACAGTCCTAGAACCAATTCTTTGTTTTGGGTTTTTGTTTTGGTTTGTTTTTTTGAATGCCAGGAGTTGGCAACACCATATGTGTGAATTCCAAATAGGGAGCCTGGTTCCTGCAGCATAAATCCATAAAAGATTTTTCTTATGGAATAATCCCAACTAAACAAAACTACAAGGAGACAAGAGGTAGCCAAGCTGCTAGAATCAATCTCTGAAGGAGGTGTCTAGCTCTTTGGTACAGAAACAACTTGACTGAATGACTAAGTTGCAAACTAGCCATGGTTGCCCACCCTGCTGTCCAAATAGAGCCCTCAGCCTGTGAAATATGAAGGAGAAAAAGATACCATAGAGTTCGGAATTGAAAATATCAGCTATTACAGTTTTCACTGGGGGTAAAAAAATTGTAAGCAGCAGTGTGGCCTAATAAACAAAAACATAACTCTTAATGTAAGCTTGAACTTTTCCTTCTCATTAATTACCATGAATCTGTTTTGAAATTCCTGTAGAGAACAAGTGCTTCTTCCTGACAGCTGGTTTGCAATTAATAAAAAGGAAAGTGTTTTCAGCTGGCAATGACTTAACATGCCCGTGATATATGAAAACAAGGTTAAATTGCTCCTTTCTCTCTGCCTAATAAAAGGTATATTGAAAATGAAATGGTGTAGTTTAGGAAATGAAAATGCCAACCAAAGCTATGGACGAAGTGCTGAGAGCTGCTTATCACCTAGTGCTTGCCAGAACAGGAATATTTGGAAAAGCTTAGTCAGTGCCAAAAATTATTCTTCAGTTGCAGGCTTTCAGAATATATTGCATTGAAGAACTTGTGATCCTGTTCCTGCAAGATAAACGAGTCTTGATTTTATCATCTCTTTTGGAGAATTTAAATGACTTACCCTTCATGGCTTTATTGGAAATCCTCTTGCCCTGATACCCTTTTTAATCTTGTCCTTCTGCTCTACTCCACGTTCTGTCAGTAAAGAATGGCAGAGGCTTTGTTCCTCGGGATGTGAGGGATGGAGTAGCCAGGGCATCAGAAAGCACACAGCAGGAACCAGCCTCTGCTGCAGAAAGACTGGCCTGATAATCAGGTGCCCGTGGACTTTGGCTGACTGTGAATTGTATTTTGAAATAATTGCTACAGATTGATGTTAACTCTCTTGCAGAATATGAAATGTAACTTTATTGCAAATATGACATGAGTATCCTATGAATACTAAGGGAAATAGGTAAAGGTGAAATAATAGATTTTACTTCAGCAGAGTCTTTATTCTTGTCTTGTAGAATGCAGAACCTTTCCAAGTTACTGTCCGAGAAGACAATTGTATCATTGTCTCCCTGGAAGCATCTGATGTGGTGAGCTCATCCTCTGTATATGTTGTGAAGATAGCTGGAGAATCCAAGAACTACTTTTTCCAGTTTGAAGAATTCAATAGCACTTTACCTGCCCCTGTGGTTTTTAATGCCAAATACCATGGCCTATATTACATAGTAACTCTGTTGGTAGTGAACTCAAATATGGTTTCCAAGTCAGCGAGATCAATCACTGTGTTAACCAGTAAGTAACATCTTATTCTTCTTTTCTTCTGTTTCTTCTCTTTGTGTGTGGTTTTTTCCCTAGAAGTTCTTCTCGTGGAGAAGGTTGGGTGGGGTTTTTTGTTTTCCATATGTTCTCCTTGTGTGTAGGATGAATCTCTGTGTGAGAATGGTAGGGAAGATGTATTGAGAAGGCTTGTGAGTTAAAATTCATGAGGTCTGGGCAAAAAGAAAGGGACAGCTGTGGGTTTCCCCCAGCTGACCTTTCTGAAACACTGACTGGAGAGGTTTAACATACTGAAATAAGTGTGATGGATGAACCTCCTTTCCAGCTGTTCTTCCTAAACCCTTTGAACCAGGAGTTCCAAAAATCTAGTAAAAGGCATAAAAAGTGTTGACAGACATTTCAGTGTAAGCACTCCTGTTTTACATAGTGAGGTATACTCTGTTTTAAATGCTCTAACAGTATTCTTTGATCGCTAATATATTGAAGCAGTACTAAACTTGGAAAGCAGATAGTAGTCACCAAAATGATGTGTTTCTGCCGGTAGAGCTGAAGGGTTTTGTGTTGGAGACTGTATTTGTAGTAGTTTGTCTCTTACTACCTCCAGGTGCATTGAGCCTGGGGTAGAGGTGTGATTTTGTTTGCTCTGTCATCATGCGAAGCACCAGATTTCTGTGTAATTCCTGCCATATTTCTGGCTGTGCAGTTGCTCCAGAACTGTTTCCATGTGACAGCCTGAAAACAATTTGTAGAATATAAAATGATTTCTTCATGTGGAAGACAGATTAAAAAAAATATAAAAAAATTACTCCATTTGGATGGAAATAGAGCAAAACCAATTTCCAGATTTTCTTTTTCTTTTTCTTTTTTTTTTTTTTTTTTTTGCTAAATAGCAAAATAGCACCTTGGAATCTATGGACAGTTTTAATTGGCTTGCAGATGAAGAATGGTTACGATTTTGTGTACTTACATTATTCTGTCAATGAGGAAATGCCATCCACTCTAATAATATCCAAAGCATATTACAGTAACATAATATGTTACCAAACGAGGTGCTTGAAGTTTAGGATTAACCAGATTTTGCATTATCTATACATTCTTCAGCCTTCCCTTGTGTGCTCAGGTTGTGCCCTGATGAGAACAACCATGAAGTGTCCTGTGGGAAAAATATGATGATGTTGGGTAATGCAAGTCTTTCGTAAGGCGTATGTGCAGTGAACAATTTAAGGGTTCATACGCAGCCTGAATTTCCTTTTCTTTGACTGCTTTAAATTTGCAGACAAGTAGTAATTCTAATCCAATTTCCTATTTTGTGGTTTCTTTGTTTTCTTCAAAGAAAATGATGGAAGCATCAGGTGTCATACACAGCAGCAATAAAATGCCTCAGTGCGTTTCCAGTGGGTTTTGAATGGTGCACTTGCAGTTGTGCAGCAGGGCTCATTGCTGTTTCATTTCCAGAGCTCATGAGGGCCACTGGTAGCAGGGTGAGGTGTGATCCATGATGGCAGATGGAGCAGGGGATCTCAGAAGGAAGAAGGGAGCCAGTGTCACTCAGCCCATCAAAGCCAGCCCCAGACTTCCCGTTTCTGGCTCAGGGGGTTTCCATGAGGTGTTTCCAAAAGAGCGGGAGGCTAACGGCTCCAAGGGGCATATCCCACGTCAGGGATACTCCAAGGATTGACGGTGTCCTTTCTGATGGAAAGTGAAGCCACCCCTTTTCACCACCTGTCTTACGCGAGTGTGCTGGCAACATCTCGGGGTTTCCTGCTGTGGCCTCCGCTGCTCACCCAGACCTTGGAAGGACCAGTGATTTTGACAGTCGGCCAGTGCTGCTTGGGGAACTCATGTAACATAAAAGGGAACAGCGAATTTCACTGGGTTTTGTCTCAACAGAAAGTCAACCAAGTTCGTGGAAAAGAAAGGGCATTCTTGCAGGCGGCATTGAAGAATGCTATTCTGAGCACTGAAAGTATGCTGTAAATTGTGAGCTTTGCAAGGGAAGGGGCCTGATCTCCTTCCTAGTATTGTCTGTCAGGCAGACTGATGGGTACTAACTCTCGTGTCACAGCCTCAGCTACTAACACAGCTCATCTTTTGGAGCACAAGGCTATAGGAATGAAAGTAAATTTGGAATGAAAAGACAGTGTGTCAGGCTGGGCTTTTTAAGGTATATTTCAGTACAGTGCTTTTGAGAAGAAATCATAAAACTCAGTAGTGACCACTGTCTTCTACAAAACTGCATGAGGTGATAGTTTGTTTTCATTTTCTTTTGTTGTTTTTCCTTTTATTGGTATTGTCCACTGCCTGTTTTATATCATTATCTGACTATTAATTTCCTTAATTTTTTTTGGCAGATGATAATTAGCAAAGATTCATATTTTTCTTCATGCTATAGGCTCTCTCTGCCTGTTTAATATTCTTAGTTTATTTTAACCATGCAATGACATATAGCTGTCTAATTTATTACATCTATATCTTAGATATGAAAAAATGGCACTTTGCAACTAGCTTCCAGGACTAAATTAATTCCTGTTCTAATTTCATTGGTACCAGGAGAGCTTTACCAGTGGTGGATTGGCCCCGTTCATTAGGCTGCCACAAGATAAATCAGGCAGGATAGCCAGTGATGCCAGCGTGGTTATTCCCAAGGCTGTACTTTGATATTTCCCAATAGTTTTCTGGGATCTCCTGATGTCTGCAAAGGAGTCCATGCAGGGAGATGCAGCCTTTCAGCTTGGCCATATGCTGGAGATCTGATTTTCTCACAGAGCAGTGTGTATGTGTATCCAAATTGTGCATGTCAAAACAAGAGCAAGGTCCTTCAAAGAGATTGCCTGCTTAGAAATTCAGTGAGAGTCATGAAAGACCTCTGCTTTCCAATGGTGTATCTTGATGATATTTCCTTTCTCCTATTCACATCCCTCAGCAATGTGCTGCTTCTCAGCATATTGGCAAGAAAAAGGTTTATTTCTTCACAGGTTGAAACTTCCCATTTAAGTCAGAGAAGACTTTTGTTTTACTGCTCAAAGGTTTCTATCCAGGAAAAAAAAAAAAAAAAGATTTGTCAAGAGAAAGATGATTTAAAAGCCAATAAAATATATATTGTATGCATTTTATATATGCAGAGCAATTGTGCTGTGTCTATCAAAATAGCCTTCCTTCCAGTTTCCAGTCTGGACAAGGTTAGAAGTAATTCTGGTATCCAACACCATTGTTTCAAGCCTGCTTTATTCTGCTCTTGGAGTTTCAGCTTTTCAACGGGAGTGAAATAACTCTAGAATTTATATCATTAATTTAGTGTTTTGCAATATTTGAAAGAAAGTTCCACCTTATTACTAGTGGGTTTTAAAATAGTTTATGAGAGAAATAAAGAGCATGGATGTAAAATCAGTGACTGAAATTCCCACTTATCCTCCATTTTCACAGCTTGAAGCCTTGTTTTATTCTTCCCAGAGTGACTCATACCCATATAGCTTTTTTTTTTTTTTTCCAAATTCACTGTCAATTTTTCTCTTTGTTGTGAAGGAAAAAAATGTTTGTACATTTGAAGGAATGGGGAAAGCAGTACGTTGCAAAGCTGTTGTGTGCTGTAGGAAAAATGTATCTCTGCTGGGAGTTGGAGAAATCAGGATCTCTGAGGGTAATTAGGAGCAGATCTGCCTCACTTTTATTTTAGCTTATGATTAGGAGTTTTGAGTGGTAAATGTCTCATTGTTTCAAAAGCCGATGATTCCTTGCATAAATCACTGAAAAATATATTCCCTTTAGGGAGAGTTCTTCCTCTGTCTTCTACAAAAAATACTCTCCTCAAGAGACCAACGGGCCTGCTGCCTGGGACTCTGATCTCTTCAGCTCTCAGAAAGTAATTGGCATTAGATCTAGTTAATGCTCAGTTGTCATTGTGCCAGATGCTGCAGGAAGTGATTCAGCAGGTCGAATCCTTTCCTCTGGCTCCTTAATGGATCAGAGCTGTTGAAGTAGGAGCTTCAGAGGGTTTTTTTTCCCAATGAAATGTAAAACTTAAGACCTTCGTGTTTTTCTTTGTTAAAGGGTGACATGGTACATCTTTAAAAACACTAGTTATCCACGGCAGCCCTAATTTCGAAACGTCACTCAGAAGAACATGTAGTCAGTGCTCAGCTTTCCCCAGAAAACAAATCATGTTATCTCCTTTTTAAGGTGAAAAACCCCCTTCATCAGAATCAAAGAAACAAAAAGAACTGCAACCATATGATTTCCTGCCATAATTTCTGTTAGAAGGCTGATCTAATCTGTTCAAGAGCAACAGATACACCTTTGTTCTTGTGACATTGTTTTTTGGTTTGTATCATCTTTTATTTGTCATCTTATGGGGGCATCTGGAAATTGCAGTATATACCATCATTGCTCAGATACTACTTTTGTGAGCAATACTTACATTCCCCTTTCATAAGCAATAACACGTAGTATCTCTATTACCTATCATAAACTTCAACATTATGTTCCTAAAGTGTTAAACAGCAGCTTTTTAATCTCAAAAATGGTTGCTTTTTAGTGAGAGATAAAACGATCCCTAATCTTTATAGCATAATGGAAGCTTTACCCTGGCTATGACTTACTCAGGGTAACTATATAGATATGTAAATGGTGTCATCCTGGGAAGAAAATAACATAGTTCACAACTTCTTCATGTGAATGAAGGGAATTACCCATGGGAGTTGGGTCAGTCCATTAACCGGGCTTCTTTTTTATAAAAGTCACGATACAAAGGTAAATCATGATTAATTTGGTTTTGAGTGTGAGAGACAAGAGAATTGATCTCAGTCCCATTTCAACGGCCCATGTGTACTGCTGCATCTAACCTACTACAGTAATCAATCATTAATTCAATCTGTAGAGTGATCTGATCTACAAATATTAAAACCAAATTGATTTGGACTGAAATATGTTACTTATTTTCAATGTACTTTCTTTTTTTTTTTTTTTCCCCCTGAATTGTAAATCTTAATGTGTCTGGCACAAATTGAATGCGTTAATGGAGGATTTAGCATCCAGAATTTTCCAGGGCATTTGAGGAAGAGATTAGCCACGTTTAATATGCTATCTTGATGTTTGTATAATGTAAGCTATGTACTAAATGCAAAATGCTGTAGAGTCCAGGAGAAACACAGAAGTTTCCCATAAACAGATATAATGGGAAAGCATTTGCTATAGGAGCAGCAGATTCTGACACACTAAGAAAAAAAGGCAAATTTAGGTCTTGATCCTGCAAGCTTGTCTATGTGCATTTAATATAATCTGCAAAGCTAAAAATAAAGGGATTGTACATGAAAAAGTGCCTTAAACATGCTGTTAGAGGGACACTGAAATCCTGTAAGTCCCTTCTGTAATGTAATATCAGACATCAATGAGTGCAGATAATTTATAAAGCTCTAAGTTTTCTGAAGTATATTACAATTTATTCAGGTTATTTCTTCAGAACAACTGAAATCTGTGAAAAGCTGGATCCTAAACACTGAAAATTGTAAAATTAAAAAGACCAGACTGTTATAAGTAAGAGTGACATTCTACATATTCTGTAAGTTTAATAACCGTAGGAGCAGTTAGTAAGTGGAAAACAAAACATGATTTTTATCTGCTGAGTGTCCTTTTAATTTCACAGTGTGCGAATAGCTTTTGATGTGGAGATTTGGCGCTGAAGGAAGTAAGATAATGGAAGAATCTTTAAATTGCATTATATCACTTATGCTACACTGCTAACATCAGCCATGAGCAAGGGGAGGATAGTAAGTGGAAGATAACAACAAGAAAGAGAGTCTGTGGTGATTACCGCTTAATTCAATTATTGGTTAATTAAATCAAAGCATTAGGAGGAAAAATCATTTGGATTAAAAATGAATATAACTTCCATCCTTTATTTGATTTGTTGTAGGAAGGAATAAATGGAGTAATTTAATCACTAGCATGAGAAAGTTTCAGTAATTCTTTCAGAAATAAGGAAACATCAGATGTGAATGAGATAGCGGAAGAAAGCCCAGGGCACACCCGCTAACATGAAAGATGACTGCACGTAAGCGTTGTGCTATTTAGAGATTATTATTGACATTTAAAGTACTATCATGTGCTGTGTGAGCTGTGATATGAACCCTCTGGTCATGTGGATAGTCAGATCGACTATTTATTTCAGAATAAGTAATGGCAAAAGCCTCTGCAGAAAGAAGAGGGTAGGTTTTGTTCCCTATGATCTGCTTTACTCCTATTTATTTCTAGGCTATCATGAATTGTCAGCAGAATTTTCACAGATCCCATCACTGAAGTGCCTGCTCGTATCTGTGAGATTGGGAGTTTCTATTTGTAAGTGGTTAACATGCAAATGTGCTGATATTTACCTGAAGCTAATGAAGTATCTTTGCCACAAGAAATAGTTTAATAGCCCCACACCGTTGTATTGCCATGCTCTGACAAAGTTAAAAATGACAACGTGACTTCTTCTTAAGACTAATTCTGTTTGCATCTGTGGCTTTTGTTCTTAGTTGGTTTTAGTTCTCCATTTCTCATCACATCTGGAAACTTAGTACTGTGGTGAAAATACTGTGCTGGTAATTGAAATTTAATTTTCGCTTCCATTACAAACTTGCTTTTCCGTCTTTGACTAACCTATTCCACGTTCCATGGGATAGTTCCACTTTTGAAACTGATACTGGTCTTCCGTTTCATCTACTCTTTCTCTTGCCTATTGTGACTGTATACTCTTTGGGGAAAAATATTTTATTAGTTTTTCTCTAGCGCCTGCCACGGCAGAACTTTGAAGTAAAATGTGTCCTCTAGGGCCATGCTAATCAACAGCCTGAATTTTTCAATCTGTCCCTACAGTGTGCAGGAACTAAATCAACACAATAATACTTATAAGGGTGTAGAGACAATTACTGAGGGTGTTATGCATTAACTACCTCTATTAATATATGTTAGTATGACAAATTTCAACTAATACTCTAACCTTGTTTTGGATATCTGCTTGGCCCTCTTAACAAATGTATAGTTGGGTTGCTATCATTTTTTTTCTTGCTGAGGGGAGAGCATTAAGCGAAAGAGTAAATTTTATTTATTTATTTATTTATTTGGTGGATAAAGGAGGCTCAATAAAACTGTGACTCTCTTATTCTTACCAACAATCCAGACTCCCAGCTGCAGTGAATTGACACACCTTTCCTTAGTCTTCCAAGCTACACTGGTCTAGATGAGACATCTCAGGATGCAGGGTATTTTTCTTACTTTTTGTAGCCCACCTGGCTCAGAGTTCAGAGCACTAGATTGGCAGTTCCTCGCTTAACTCCTTTCCATGCACAGGCTTCCCCATGCCTTCCAGTAAACCACTTTACTTCCCTGTACCTACCTCAGTTCTTCATCTGTAAAGTAATGGTACTGCTATGTTTTGTACAAGTTTGGTGTGGATAATTACGTTGAAGATGGTGGCCCTCTCAGATATGGTTGGAATGGGGACCTATGAAATAAAGAAATTAATACGTATCAAAATAGGAATTCTTCTTTCAGGTAGCTTTCTTTGGTTGTTACACTGACAAGCTTCTCAGTTAATCTTAAAAGTTCACATTTATGCCAAAGTTATGAGCAATTTCATTGTTTTGTTGTTTTTGACTGGGCACTTTTATATGTTTGTTAAGCATTGAAGACAGAAATCTTGCTGGGGTGATGACTGTGAGTGCTTAAATAGTAACTGCTGTTTGAACCTTTATTTTTATGGCAAACAAGGAAGTTTTTATGTTAAAGTGTAAGCGTCAAGAACATAAATTGTTTTGGGGGGGAACACAGAAATATTGGCTTTGTCAACGTCCCAGGTAGTGTTGCCGTGGACCTCCGTGAAGCCCCACATATCACCTGGCAGATTGAAGAGTGCCTGTGCCATACCTAGCAAAACCATTTGTTTCATTGGTGTACATGTATGAAGAACTCAGTTTGCCTATTAATCTGCTCCTTTCTTCTTTTTTTCCTTTTATTTGTGCATCCTTTAGAACCCCTTCCTGTGAGCAGTGTTTCTATCTATGATTACAAACCATCTCCAGAAACAGGAGTGTTGTTTGAAATTCAGTACCCAGAGAAGTACAATGTTTTTACCAGGGTAAATATAAGCTATTGGGAAGGAAAAGACTACCGAACAATGCTGTACAAAGGTAGGAGGAAACTATTCCACTAAAACTTAATGCTAGCTCTGCTGGAAACATTTTAAACCAGTGGTCCTAGGTGTGGTTTTGACATATATCCATTATAACGATTTATAATTCCGGTAATGTGTTCGTTTATATAGTAACTTCTATATCATGAAGTAAGGGATGGGTCTTCGAATTGAGCTGGTAGTTCACTTTGGATTTAAACCTGCTTCCCATCTGTCACAGGTGGAATATATTCACACGGTTATGATTTAGCAACAATTTGAGGTTTATTAATAGTGTGAAGTAGATTTTAGCAGCACTTAATCATTAACCAATTTAAAGTCTAATAAGGTCATTTAGTAGAATACATTGTCATTAAAACAGTGACTTTGTTACAGATTCGAGAACAACAAGATTCACACTAACTTATTACAAGGTATCCTAAATTAAGGCATATATATGTTTATATAACACAAACACACAGACAGACAAACACATAGATAGGTAGAGAAGCAGAGATAAGAGGCTAGCCTATAGTTAGAATTTCCCTTTTCAAGTTTTGGAGTAAATACTCACAATGCATCAGCATTCCTCAACAGGCAATGACTGAGTCTCGAGAAGGGTGATTTTGCGCCCCTGACCAGTTGTCAGCTGTGCCCAAGAGGCATCCCAGCTCAGGAGCAGTGCTGGTCACAGCCCACTGTTACCCAGGAGAGCTCAAAGGGTCTCGCTTGGGATTGCTAGTTTATAGGGTCTGAGATAATTGGCTTTCATTAGGTACTTTTCCATTTTTCCCAGCTCGGATGGTGTAATGTTCTGGCACTTTCCACCAGTTGTGCAGGCCCAGAACTCACTAGATCTTGGCGTTGTGGTATCTCTCCCTTTGGGCCGCAACCCAAGTACAGATGTGCTAGGGCACATGTGTGTTGACTACTGTTGTTCTTCAAACAATAGGGGAAGCAGGAGCCAGGTGCATTAAGGGGGTGCCTTAATGCCCTGGGTTGCTGCTCACAACCTAGGTACGGATGTACTGGGCTGTCGGGCATCACTGCTTCCCAGACAACAGAAGTAGGGGCCATGTACGTGAAGGGGGAGCCTTAACGCTCTGGTTCGCTGCCGTTTGCACTCCATACCTGTAGCATTCAGTATTGTCTCTGAGCTAATAAACCCTGCTGTGTATTATAAATTTCAATTTTCTTAAAATAATCTAATCAAGGGCAATCAATCTAACAAACTAGACAGTCAGTCTAAACAATTTAACCAATCTGACCATCTAAACAATCTAGTAAGAGCAAATTCTGCTTTCTTTTTTATTTGTTTATAACTGAACTCCCTTTTGCCCTGCAGTATAGCTTAAGCATAGCATCTTTCTCAGAGATGTAAATGGGACTGTCCTATGGAAAGCATCCTAAGAGGTGAGAAAGGCATCCGCAACCCCAATGGTTTAACATTGTATAGGTGTAGTCAAATGGCTTTGAGCTGTCCAGTAGGTGCTGGGTTGGATTTTAGGCACTGAACTAAGGCTCCTGAAGTCTGGTTGCTGTAAGCTCTCTCTAAAGTCAGCAGAGGGAGATACACACCTCCAGAAGGATGTCAGAAAATTTTGGCATCTCTTTGCTTCAATACAGAGTGGGGCTACAAATCACATATTCAATATTGTGAAGTGCCAGAAGTTAGGAAGGGTTATTCTGGATCATAGCAAATATATGTGACCTCTTTCTAGAGAACAAAATGGATACCAGGAGTAATTTTTGTCTTCTACAGCTAATGCCGGTTCCCGGGGCTGTAATGCTGCAGCTGCAGCTCCTGCTAACTAAAAAGTCAACCTGAATTAAGAGATTCACTAATCAACTTGCACACTCCTTCCTGTAGCCAAAGAGCCCTAAGCAACTTCTCTTCAGCCCTCACGTGTACTGATGGTGGATGTGAGCTCTGCTCTCAGTACCACGCCTTGTGCTCAGTTGCATGGTGGATGGCCCTTTGAACATCTCCCCAAATGTTATGCCTCAGTCAGCAAAAGACCAAGGAGGCTTTTGCGTGCAGCAGTTAAAGGTCTGCAGAAACTGTCAGATGCTCTTTGAGATATTCAGTGTCACGTGGAACAGGTTGCCAGATTCAGTTTCCTTTTCTGTGAAAAGTAGTTCATGTTTCTTATGTTGGGCTTTTTTTTTTTTTTTTTTTTTTTCAAAGTGGCTTTGACAGCCAGGAAAAATGTTGGCAAACTGAATTATTAGAATTTCGTGTCTCAGACCAGGCTGGGCAATGTTTAAACATCTGAAATACTGCCAGTTCAGCATGTACAGTTGCATTATCAGAAAGTGAACATTTGACGTATTTTCCTCTTTTTTTTCCTTTCTTCTTTTCTTTTTAAACCTTTTGCAGATTTCTTTAAAGGTAAAACAGTTTTCAATCACTGGCTACCAGGTATATGCTACAGTAACATCACATTTCAGTTGGTATCAGAAGCAACCTTCAACAAAAGCACGCTAGTGGAATACAGCGGGGTCCAGCATGAGCCCAAACAGCACAGAACAGGTGAAGAAAATTATTATGTACCGTTTGCTCCAAGTCTGTGTGGCCACTTTCCTTTCTGCCATGGGGAGAGGATTGATCCCACAGAGAGGAGGGTCTGTGTGGGAGCAGTCCTGGGAGCTGCTTTGGTCCAGGAGCACGGGAGAAGGATGCTGCGGCTAGTACATAGGGTTATGTGTACAATACAGTGCAAAGGGAAATTTGCATGAGTGTTTCTGTTATAAAGATTGCTTCTTAGAAAATAAATTCTGCTTCACATGAGATGTCCTAGGCCTTGTACTAGGAATTAATTTTTAAGCCACAGGAAGAGCCGCACTGAGCATGCTATTGATCTATCTATATTGGTCTGTCTCCTTGTGCAGTGAGTCATAGCTAAACTGTTGGAGAAGGCCTTCCTCATTGTGCAGTCTTCTGTCATGGAGAAGGATGTCATAGTCGCCCCACTTGGCGGCCAGTTTATGCCCTGAAGCATGAACTTTTAATTTCCAAGACAGCAATGTTGCAAAGGCTGAAAATTGCATTTGTTCAGGGTCCAGAACTAATTTAATTTGGTTCTGGGACTGTGCCTGAAATATTTCTGTTTATCTGTTGGACCACAGACATTTTCCAGGGTCCAAAGTGAAATGAACCAGCGGTAAAATCAAAAGGCCAAATCTTCAGATGGGTACGCTGATGTTGGTCCATTGCCTTGGACAGAGCAAAGCCAACGGATGCCAGCTGAGTTCTGTCCTCAGGATCCTCAATGTAGTTATTGAGATATTGAACCATAAGAATGCAACCAAAAGGATCGTGTTTTTCTTTCCTGCTGCCCTCCCATCCTTCATTCTTTGCACGAACTGCAACAAGATTATAGTGTCTGGTTTTGTATTAGTGGCCGTGGCTGGGACAGGGGAGCTGAACAAATTAGTGTGTTGTAAGGTGCCAGCTTAAAAGGCGTCAATCGAAATTGTTTGCAGAGGCTACTCGCACTTATTGTGTGTAAGGGCAGATAGACAAGCAATTACAGTGAGGCAGACCAAATGCTATGTGTTCACCTCGCGGCATAAGTTGAAGTAACTTTTTTGCATGCTAGAATCTTGTCTTCTGGAAACCCAAATCTTAAGATCAAGCTTTCACAAATATTAAAATTTAAACTGATGTTTAGTGCTTGTGAAAAGGTGGCTGATAAAAGCATATGAAAAGCCCTACAGGAACATGAAGATCATACTTTTAAAATATGAGTTATGCCATATATTAGTTTTGCATATGTTTTTCAATTCATTTCTACAGAAGTATTTTTTTCAATTATCAATATCTTTCTGGAAGACACAATAAAATAAATGAAGATCCACTCTTAGAAGTTCACACTCGAATAGCCTTGCTGCTGTAGTAGCACTGAAGTCTGATTTACTGTGATTTCCCATCTACTTTTCTTCCTGGTATTCTTGAATCGCAAGTCTTCTGTGAATTTACACTCATCTTGATCCCACTAGAATCACTTCTGCTATAAGTATATATGTAAGAGAAAGGAGAATCTTAGTAAGAATGAGTTATTTCAAAATATCCCTAGATGTTTTTCTGCAAACAATATTTCTCTGGGGAATTAACACATCATAAAGGTTCACAGAACATACCTATTGAAAGACTAACCCTTCCTTCTCTTTTAGTTCCTTACCCACCTCGAAACATTTCTGTTCAGATTATACCGATCAACAGAAACAACTGGGAAGAGCACAGTGGGAATTTTGCAGAAGAATCATTCATGGGACCACGAGAAATCATAAGGAAAGAAAAACTTACCCATTTATCTGATAACCCACTTGAAATTCCAGCAGCAAACACATCTGCAGCCTGGCCAGACTACCGCTATAACAGCACTGAGTACGAAACCACGTCGCAGCCATACTGGTGGTCTAACGAAGCTGAGTCATCAGAGGGTGCAGAGGAGTTTGTCAATGCAGTTGCCAGTGATTACGAGGCCAATGATGTCAACACATCTGGAAAATTCACACCAGAGCCCCCTTCCTTCCTTCCTGTACAAATGGTGCTGACCTGGTTACCACCAAAGCCACCTACTGCGTTTGATGGGTTCCATATCAATATTGAAAGGGAAGGTAAAACAGAGCCTTATACCCTTTTCATACCTCTTTTTTGTAATTCCATTGGTGGGTTGTCTCCTCTACAAATTATTAGTTACCTAGTACTGTGCTTCAGAGGGCTTTGTTAGATCTCGTGTATTTCTTGAGAAGCTTCTTGCATTGAATAGCATCTAATTCTGGCTGAGTGTCCTAAAAGTAAGGGAGGAGGGATAAATCACCGTTTGCAATTCTGTTTTGTTAAACAAGATTTATACGGTTGTACATATTGCTGCGCTGTGTACATGGAAGTTGTCGTAAATCCATTCTGGTATTGGAGAAAGGAGAAATAAGTTGATAGACATTTGAGACGAAGGTACATTATAGCATGCAGTTTTGTCAGCCATTGAGCAAGGTTTTCAGGGGACCTTGACCAGAAGGGGCATACAGAAAAGATAGTCTAGATTCAGGTTAACAGTTGTCTCAGAAGACAGCTACCAAACATATTCCTTAGGCCACAAAGAGGCTGTGATGGAGAATGGGGAGACTTTTCAAGTGATGGAGCTACAAGAAAATTGCCATGTTGCTTAAAGATTTTTTGTTTTAAAATCTATTTTATCCAAATTAATTTTATTTCCTGACAAGCAGTTTTTATAAGCCATCTCACACTGAGGGCAAATAAGTTTTTTGGCAGAGTAAGAATGCAATAGATAAAAAATTGGAAGCTCCTTTTCTTCCATGCCATGCTGTTTTTCACTTGCACAGTCATGGCAACCCTATTTTATCATCCCTTCTACAGAATGAAACTTTGGCCTGGGTTTATTGTTCCTCAACACATACACTGCAACCTTGGTCATTAATTACTCTTGTGCTGATGGCAAGAAATAAAACTACCCACATAAATCCAGTCCTTTTGGATACCTTTTAATCCCACAGCAGAAACAGTATTAGCATTTCTGATATAAATCATTTTCTCAGGGGCTGGAGCCTTTCAAATTTCAATTAATCCACACTTTTTTTCCCCCTCCTGATTTAGAGAACTCCACGGAATTTTTGACAGTAAGTGAGGACACTCACAAATTTGTTGCTGAACTAAGAGAACCAGGAAAATATAAGTTGTCTGTAACAACATTTAGCTCCTCTGGCTCTTGTGAAGTTCGGGGAAGTCAATCGGCAAAAACACTTAGCTTTTACATCAGTAAGTATCCAAACAAATCTGTGTTTTTCTCCCAGACCAATATTACTTTAATGTACAGAGTTTGACCACTGTGGCACCTATGGCATCTGCTGCAGGATCAGAAGAGTCTGGTCTTCTGGAATTCCCTGTACCAGAGAAGGAAATATGGTGCAAAATCCTTCCTGGATTTGCCTTCATCGTGCTGTTTTGGCAGAACTAAGAACTGAAAGCAGGTGATGTATTTGATAGAGTCATTGCCCAGTGTTCAAACGTGGCTCACTGAAACAGGTTCCCATCTTGTATCTTTCAAAGAGAAGATTTAATCCCAAGAATTAAATTTGTGGTTATAGAGATTCTTGAAAATACTTAACTTCCTTACTCACTGGAGGCTGTATGTACCGGGTTAGAGATGAAGGACATCTCAGGCTGAGTGTGGGAATTGCACAATTAAACACTGAACTCTGAAATTACATGGTCTCTGAGAGAACATGGGGCAAATTACAGTAGATGAAATAGTTCAGCCTGCTAAATTCAGAGGAGAAAAAGTAATTCATTATTTCCCTGTAGAATTCCAGGATTTCTTAACTGAAGATTTAGTAAAAGACAAAGTAATAATACACTACTGCGTAAACTAATATAATGACTGACAATTAGATCAGCAAGTGAGATAGGTGTTAGTGAATTCAGATTATTATCCTTCTGATGGCTGTGGTCACCTTTGTACCTTTTTCTACTAAAGGAAATAGATACAGCCTACAAAATGCCCATACAATGAGAGCAGGGGAATACTTGCAGCACTACACAATTTTACATGTGGGAGGATAGTGTCTCCCCCGAATCATGAATGCTGCAACAAGACACAGTAGCTAAGGCTGGCAGAAATATTCATATTAAAAAGAAATGCACTCAAGTACTTAGGTACATTACTAATAAAAATTGTGTCTTTGGTAGCTCATAAAATTTACAAATACTAACTATTTAGGTTTAAATTCACCATAATGCTTTACTGCATGTAGCTGAATTCCACTTTCTCTCCTATGTTTTTAACAACTTTATAGCTGAAATAAACAGTACTTGGAAAACAAAGAGAAAAGAGGAAACAGCACACGAGAGAAAGGGGGTCTCTGCTGTTGTAATTTCACTGTCTTCTGGTTTCCTTTAAGAATAGTTATTAGACAGCTTCATTATATGGATAGCATTAAAGTATGTATAAGTATACAAGTATATCAAATAAATTATGTATCATTGCTATCTACCAAATGTTATTCCATGTTACAAGGTGTGACTTATTTCCCTTAAGCACTATGCAATACAGTGTCCTCCATGAAGTCTACTAACTGGGGACAGAGACCTGAGAGAAATGAGAAAATGTTAATCCAAAGTATAGGTGTATGGATTGTTAGATTAAGGATGAACTTGAATTTCATTTGGTATAAAGTATTAAGTTATAGGAATGTAACAAATATTTTCATTTTACATGTAACACATGAGAACATTTGGAGGTTTGGGATTTGTCCATTAGTTTTGCAGGCTTTTAGAACCAGATGAGGATTCTTGGCAGTTGTCTTATTTATTCTGTCAAACGCAATATCCTTAGTATTTTAGATAGATTCCATATGTATTTCTGGTAGCATGCCAAATCTGAGATGTGCACAAGTGCTCTTAAGGTGAAATTGCTTTTCCATTCCTCTTTATGAGTCTGATCAAGTAGGCTTTTTGTGTGGGGACTACAACTTTGGGCCATGACATGAGGTGGCTCAGTTCCCTTAATGCTGATGCTGGAACAGTTTCTGAATAGTAAGAGCTACACATACATCCACTGGCCCCAGAGACTAATCTGGTGATCACATTCCTCTTTTTATCTGAGTAGGTGTGAGTTTGCTGTCATGAATAAATTTTGCTCATAGCTTCAGCCTTATCTTATCCTTGTACCACTCCATCAGTGAATCATCCTGTCAAATTACTGGCTTGTATTATGCAATATTTTTGCTGTACCCAGATAGCAGTATGGATTGTAAAATCTCATAGCCTAGTCTTACACCAAATTCTTGCTCTGGCATTTGTTTTATTTTCTTAATAAGCATAAAGTACCATTAGAATTCTGTGGAGGAAGGCATATCAAGGAGAGAGCTGTCAGAAGCATCACTTAGAAGTGACAATGAAAGCTGATGATTTTCAGGAAATACGAAATTTTGACCAAGTCTAGCTGAAGTTATTTTATCTACACTTAAACCTGTATTCTTACCAAATGCTTCAAAAAGTCTGATGGATAATGAGATTCTTCACTGTGGTAACCTCTGTGAACTTGATTTTCACGCTTCAATGCTGTATACACTTGGAGGGTATGTGGAGAGGCGAAAAATTTTGTGTGCTTATCCTTTAATATTTGTCAATGATCTGTACATTATTGGATATCACTGCTTGTAAACATTCCTTTGGAGCAAATCTGATATTGCTGTGTGGTTTCTGGTAAGCAATAGAGAAAACTGCAGTCTGAATTTTCAAACAGTGGCATTTCTCTCATCATCTGCTCTGCTACAGGTGAAATAGCACCAGTCATAGGCTGTTTCCCAGGGGCTGCCATATTCACTGCCTGAGGGCTGTGGAGATGGACAACTGTCAGTCCAGCCTCTTTCACTAACAGTGAATAAGCCCGTGAAAGAAGGATGTTTTAACATACGTGTCTCAAATGCAGAGTGGCTTGCTCACGTGTGCTTTTGGGACATGTCCCAGGCCCCACAGGTGAGTGGATAGAAGAGCTCACTGAAAAGCCCCAGCACGTAACTGTGACGGTGCTAAGCTCCACTACTGCCCTGACATCCTGGACAACATCACAAGAGAGTGGAGGCAATAGCACCATCGTGTCTGTGGTCTCCCTGACCTGTCAGAAGCAAAAGGAAAGTCAAAGGCTTGAAAAACACTACTGCACTGAGGTAAGGGGTGGTGGAAGCTGGAGACTTTTCAAATACAGGAAAAAATTGCTATTCATCCTGCTGTTTGGGATTATCAGGCTCAGGGCTGCAGAGCACAGCAGTAAGTGCTCCCTTCTGCAATTTAAAGAGACATGGCTGGTGCGGAGGGGAGGGGAGAGCACAGCATTCAGGAATGAAAGTGTGCAGTACACCATAGTAGTGTTAAAATTGTATTTGTGTTGGACTGACTGTGGCCAATCCTTTGTTCAAGCTTGTGAGTTTTGTTGCACCATTTGAGGCTATTTTGTGGCAGTAGGGAAAATGGTGCTGTATCGTAATAACACTTAGGCGTATGCTCTAATCCATTTGTATTAAGCAAAGTGCTCACATGCATGATCATCATCAAACTAGCATAAATTATTTCTTAGATATCCTACATATGAATGCAGAACCTGACTCTAAACTTTCTGGAAGTTTAGAGGTGATCAGAAGCCAGCTTTTCTTTTGTCCATAAAAAAAGATGTCAGCACTGGGAAGTAAACTGTAATTCCGACCATCTGTGATTTAGATAGACAACAATTCTTTAGAGTTGCCGTATGGGATGTGTTTATAATGATCAAGGATCCTGAACCCCAAAATATAGCATTTTTCTGTTACTTGAAACCCTTAGTGACTGCAACCCCACGTCAGATCCTGTGGCATGTGGCTTCAGTTAGAAAGAGGTTGTAGCCCACATCTCAATTACTTCACCAAGAACCTGATAAGGCCATTTTCTGAGCAGTGCCGCAACTTCTGTCTGTCTCCCTAAATTTGTGTGATGGAGCAGTCTGCAAAGGACTGCAGTGCTGCCCTGCTGCACCCTCAGCTCACCCATAGGAATGGAAGGAGACCACTAACACTCCCAGTAAATCTTCATCTCCTTCAAATTTGTGATTAGCCCTGCAAGTTAATCGACACATAGAGTCTGCATCCTTTAAAAATGTCTTTCAAAATGTATCTTTCTCAAAATGTTTTGAATTTAAATAAAATTTAAATGTTTGGAAGTGTCTTTTCATGACAATTTGAGATTTGTTTTTCAGAATCAGCTTGTAATCTCATTGAGTTATTTTTCTTCCATTTATTAAAAGTGCAGACATTTAATCAGGAAGCAAAACAATACAGTAGGTGAATATAAACCACAGATCACAAGTATATACATATATGATTAAAGTAAATACTACAGGATTAATCCACAAACTCAAAGACAAGTACCTAAAGCTAATCTGTGAATAAACAAGGTATCTGTAAAAGTAAATGCATATTTATTGCAAGTAGGTAGAAAGGTCTAAATACCGTTATTTGTTTCTTCCTGTCATTACAAATATTCATACCACCTCTAATCAAGTTTTATCAGCTTATTATACCTGGAATTATTAATGGCCATTGGTTTGAATTCTCCTTGACAGGCTGAAAAGGGCAAAATTTAGTGCAGAGTTCTTATCAATTTCTAACATCATACATGATTTAAAAGTGATTTAGCTTTCCAAAGAAGCTGTTAAAGAGAAATTCTGTTCCTCTCTAAATCTGTGGTGGCACTAATATATCCATGTGCATTTGCAGTAAACCACCAGTGCAAAGGTGGCTGTGACACAGACTTTGGAAAGGTTGCGAAGAAAATATTAGTGGGAAATACCAGCCTGCAATTCTAGAATGGGTGCAGAAAGTCCTTTCCTGAAAGCTGCTCTCTGCATTTGCTGTGAGCTGGCTCTTCAGGAGATAAGACTTCTCATATTGTATCAGACCAGGAATCACTTGGTCAGTCAGGTACTCCGCCTCCAGCTGTGACTGAAACCTGGTGTGGCACAGCAGAAATTTTAATGGATGTTTCAAACTGAAAAGAAAAATCACAATGTCCCTTAGGTTTTGTAGTACTGTGCAGGGGAGGTGAGAGAGAGTAATTTCTCTCCAATTTCACCATGCAGTCACCTAACACATTCATTCAGAAGACAGCTGCCTTCAGCTCGCGTAGCTGCAGATGAATCAGATGGCCGATGAAAAGCCTCAGTGTTTTATTGAAAACACACAGTCTAAATACTTCAGCCTGAATAATATCACCTGAATATGGATATAGCCTGAATATTTCAATAAACTTCGACAGTAGGAGAGAGTGGGTCTGTAGTGTGACGGCTGACCTTACGCAGCAAGGCAAGTGTGGTGTTCTGAGTCAGACTATTTGTCAAGTCGGTCCTGACCACTTTCACAGTTTTGTCATTTTGGGCTTAATGAATAGAATTTCAGCCGCTGATGCCAGTGTGTTCAGAATCATTCCTTTTGTAACTAGAGTAGTTCAACTACACTCCAAATGTTCTTTTAAATAACCAAGTAAGTACTTCATATCTGATATGTTCCTCTCCTATTAGGTGAATTCAAGCAGCAGCCTTATTGAAAATCTTGTTCCTGGTGCCCAGTACCAAGTTGTGGTTTACTTACGGAAAGGACCGTTGGTTGGACCACCCTCTGATCCTGTTACATTTTCCATTGGTAACCCCTGCATCTACTGTTTGAAATTTGTTTGGTTTGGTTTTAAATATGTGTAGTATATTCATTAAGTCTTAGAGTCCATGAAGGAGTACAAAATTGTCATGTTGGTTATTTCAAATGTAATGAATAATTATTGAGAATATTTTCTTGTATTGTCTAGCCCATTACTGAGGTGGGAAAAATACTCCTTCAATGGAAGATAGATATTTCACATTTAAATGTTATTACCAAACGCAACTAGAGAGCAGTTATGGTCAGGATTCACAGATAGAGTGCCCTGTGGAAAGAACCGTCCTCACCTTCAGATGTCTGAATATATGTTTGTCTCTAGCAGTTTTCGTGGTCTATGTCATTTAGGGTGGGAGTCACCTCACTTAGGTGTAGCCAAGTGATAGAATTCAGTATCTTTTAGTTTCAGTATCATTTATTTTTAATACATATTTAACAAAATGTATTTAGACGAGAAAGGGCAAAGAGAAAGAGACTCAGTGTATAGCGTTACATTTGCAGAGAAGTATTTAACCAGTCACCCAGCTTCTCCTTTTTACAAACAGTCTGCCTTGTGGGAGAGCAGGTGGCTGAAAGTTAGAGATCTTCAATACTTTTCATTCTGCTTCTCTGTGATGTAGGGAAGAAAATGAAACAGAAAAAAACAAAGTTAACCTCGTAAGAATTGAAACTTTAAATGAAAGCAAATATATGAACTAGTAAATATGGTGAAAGCCTTTTCATTCTAGGCAGTCTCCTTATATATTTTCATAATTTGAGCCTGAATAAAAAATCGAAAAGAGAGTATAGTATATTTCAGTAAAGGAAAAAATAGTAAGTAAAAATATATATACTTTATTATTAAAATCTCTGTCATTGGACAATTTTTACAAATACTTTTAATGTTCTTTCTCACTATAGTTACTTCCGAAATCTGCAAAATTTTATTTTCACTTGAGAAAGTGAAGTCATTTATTCCCAAAGTGAATAAGTTCCTTCCTTTTCTCCAGTTTTCTCCATGGCCTCACAACCATAAAAGGTTCTTACTAAGACTGGCAATCGATTCCTAAACAAAACATCTCATACGGTTTTTATTATAAAGGGGATGTTTTTATGCAGTAAAACAACAGTTGTATGAGTTTTCATTTCGTAATAGGATATTGAATTCGATAGTAAAATAGTAGAACTGCGAAACAAACTGTTATGCGAAATCATGAGTGGTGGTAATGATAAATGAAACTGAAATAAGATAAAATACACTTTTAAAAGTATTCTGTTCTTCCCATGTTTATTCTAAGCCTCACTTTCACTGGGTGAGTATTAACACTTTAGAGAAAGCAAAGAAAAGATGTGGTAAATGGTTTATGAAGGGAAAGGCAATCATGTGCTAACATGGGCAGGAGTAATCAGGGTGCTGGTCTCAGCTCTGACCTGGCATGCAATAGCTGGAGCTCTGCCACCCTTGTAAATGTTAGCAAAGTATTTATTTAAGTAGCATCAGTTAAGTCATGAAGAATAATTGCTTTCCAGACAAGTAAGGTTGCAGAAGTTGACCCTTATGTGACATTTTTTCAAATCGCTTGACTCCTCTTTCTCAGTGTCGTCATCTCTGAAGCAAGAATAGCAACACATAACAGCACCTTTAGGTTCCCCAGGCAAGGAGGGCTAGCCATAAAAACTGTTCTTTCTCATAGTCTTCATCTTACAAAGTGTTATGGCTTTTGATGTTTTTGTTTCTGAGCAACTTGAAACATCTCTTTAACATCCTGGTTTTCAAAGCAGAATAGAACCCTCCGTTTATGAAAGATCAGGCCCTGTACTTTACCTCAAGCTAAGCAGCCAACACCAAGTAGCCTGTAGTCATTTCTGAAAAAAGAGACATAACAAACTGGAGAACAAATGCTGAGAAAATGGTATTCAAGGCTTGTGACAAGGAAGCTCTTGGAAATTAAAGTCAGGAACAAACCAGAAATAAGTAGAACTTGGTTAAGGAAAGATACTGGTTTTAAGTGTAACTGGTAACACACACATTACTAACCACAATTTCTGATTTATAGTGCCCACTGGAATAAAGGATCTGACACTTTACCCTTTGGGACCTACTGCTGTGGTTTTGAGCTGGAACAGACCTTTCCTTGGGGTGTTCAGGAAATACGTTGTAGAAATGTTTTACTTCAACCCATCAACGATGACCTCTGAGTGGACAACCTACTATGAGATAGCAGCAACCATCTCCTTAACTGCCTCCGTGGTAAGGTGACCATTACTGAGTACTGCTTTCCCCTGCATGTGGCCCTGGTACCTTCTGACATTTCTTTGCCCAGCCTTTCCCCTGTGCATATATATATATATATGTGCCTTTAAGCCTGGCATGTTTTTCCAGGCGAAGCAGAGAAAATGGCCAGGATGCTAGAGGCATTTTCTGTTCTAAAGGAAGGGAATTCCAGCTGAACCATGCGAAATTTTAACGGAGTGATAAGATAGGAGATGAGCCTTTTTTTTTTTTGTTGACAAACAGGCATATTCAGCAAGTCCAGAGGCAGCTTCAGTTTGTGGGTCAGTTTGTCAGTCAAGGCTTTAAAAATTCTGTCATCTCCTTGGGGGAAGTAGTCCAAAGCCTTATCTACATAATTAATATTGTTAATATGGATTCGGGGCTTGCAGGCTAGTCTTGCAGTGTGCCATCTGGAAGGCTTAGCTGCAGAGATGTTCTTGTGAAAATAGCCTCCGTGTTTCTGAACCTACAAAGACTTATGCCAGGATTTCAACTAGATGGAGACTGATCTCTGGAAAAGCACGCGCATATGCGCACATATACATGTATACGCAAATGTATCTTTTCAGAAATAATGTGAAATTTTCATCTTATTTTCCATTATTTCCTAGAGAAGGTGAACAGATTTTATTCTGACTTCACTGTAGCACAAGACAGAAAGCAATTTTAGCTGAAATTAGTTGTTCAGAAAGTTATGAGTGTGCAAAAAGGATAGCAATAACTTTTGCTGCTTATGAGAGCCACAGTGATTTACTGTAATTGATTTGCATAATACCATTTGTAGAGTCATTTTGGCTATAGAAGCTTAACTGTAATTTGGTATGTGACTGTAAATCTAGCACATAAATCTCTAGGGAAATTAAAAACAAAAATAACTTACCAAATGAGTAATTAATATCTTGTAATCATGACTCAGCACAATTAGATTAATACCTGAGTGATTCCAGTCATCTTAGAAATAATGCCATCTTCCACAGTAAATGTGGTTCATTAGAAAATCAGATTATATTGTCCCTTACTGTTGCAAATCCTGTTCAAGGAAGCCAAGTTGGAATTCTTTTGAATTTCAGTCTGAAATGTGACAGTGCTATATCACAGCTAAAATGAGCATTTCTTAAAGAATAATTTTAAAGACTAAGCCTGAATTAGAAAAAAAGAGTGTCTCCCTGTTCTTCTGTTACAGCATTTAACACACAGGTAGGTATCCCTGAACTTCTGTTTGGGTTCTGTAGAGATGCTCCAGAATCCCACCAAGTCCCACAAATTTCCCTGTCATCTACTGACATCTCTGAGTGGTGTATTCTGGAGCAACAGTGTCAAGCCCAGTGAGAAGACAGTAGATCCAAAAATCAAGCTCTCTGGCAGCTGACATCAAAAATTACTTCGTGAAGCATTAGCACTTGGAGTGAACCTTTGGAACTGAATTTGCCCTTTAACTCTGTTTAGTTGCTTCATTCATTCGTGCTCTGCATCTTACCTTAAAATTGTCAAAACAATGTTGGGATTTTCAGTGTTACACCAGGGACATGTCAGAAGTCCAAGCATCTTCAAAGTTTTGGTGCTAATTAGATACAACCTTTTCTAAAAAGCATAAAAAGAATACTCCACAAACCCTGTATTTGGGTCGCTTTGTAGTATCTGGGAAAAAAAAGGCCACTGCAAACAGCAGAGATCTGTAAAAACAGTAATTTCTAAGTTGTTGAAAATTTTCATTATTTCCAGTTTGCTTTTATTTTGCAATTTAAAAATATCTTGAGGCTTTTCATTTAAACATAAAATTAAATATTTGGAGTGTTTTGTGCTGTCAATGGAAGTATTTGAATTTTAACTTAAATATTACATACAATATTATAATATAAAATATATTACATTTTATACTTCATTTATATCTCATTTCTATTTATATATATAATTTATGTCTCATAAGTCATTTATGTTTCATTCATATTCATTTATAATAAATGATAACACAAAGTGAAATGTACTTTGAAAATTGGAAAATTCTGTTGTAGTGAAAATATATGAGTCAAAAACATTGTTCCTAATTTATCCTCAAACCCTATTTAATTAAAATAGAAAAGCTTACATTTTCCAGTTAAATATTCTTCCTTCATCAAATCAGAATTTTGTTGATGGCAGATTGCTCTGCAGAAATCGTTCTTGCTGCCCTGGAAATCAATGAGAAGTTCCCATGGTGAGTAGGACCTCAGACCACATGCACATGGATAAGTAGCAGAGCCATCATAACCGTGTTTGCTCCCACTGCACAAATTTTTTAATAAATTCAGATGCCAAATTTTAGAGATTTCCACGGAGTGAGGAAGAGGAGCTCAAGTAAAATGAGCATGGGCACTAGATTTATGAATATTGTTGTGTTCTGTAAGTCACACCTCATGATGGTGAATTTTGTCCTGAGCTGTTGTTTGTCTTTTGTCGCTTTACAGAGAATAGCTAACCTGCTGCCTGCTTGGTATTACAATTTCCGGGTCACCATGGTGACTTGGGGGGACCCAGAGCTGAGCTGCTGTGACAGCTCCACAATCAGCTTCATAACAGGTAAGCAGCCATGTGGAAAGACTGTGGAAATGCTCCTGGGAGAACAAATGCTGAGAAAGACCAACTTGGGTGCTGTGCTTCACCCAGGTACTTGCAAGTTAGGATATTTAACAGCTAAATGGGTTTTTTGGGGGTTTGGTTTTGTTTGGGTTTTTGGGTGGATTTTTTTAAGGAAAGGTCTGAGGACTGCTTTAAATGAATACATGTAGTTTCCCTATGCAAAGCACAGTGCTTGATTACCTTGTTCCAGTCCTCCATCAGCTGAATGCATGGCTCCAGTGAGGGACAGCGATCCTGTTCATCTTTTACAACACCATCTCTTTTACACATTGAGAAGTTAATGGGTAAATAAGTAAATCTGAATTCTTAGGTTTTCTAATGTTATGAAACATTTTTCCATATATTTGCAATATTTCTAAATGCTTTTTCCTCCTCTGTCCCCCTCCCGGTGATCCACAGATCAGACCATGATTTATGTGGCACCTTAGCTAACATAGAGAGTTATGCACTCTTAGGCAGACTGAGGCAGGTAATATGTTCAGTAGCACATTATTCTTGTCCTCCAGCTTTGCCTTTTCTGCTGGGTGTTTTTTGCTTGCTCACAGTAAGGAGAGAAGGGTGCTCTTCTGATCAAGGCATTGCACCCGCAATGGGTAAATTGGCCTTGGGAAACTGTGTGATGCTGGCAAGTTAATTTCTAATCTGGATTCTCAGCTGCAGTAAATTGATATAACCACGTGGATGGCCCACTTCCAGTTGGGACCAGCCTTGCATTTATCACACTCTGTTGTCTCTTGTCAGATTCTTTGGGTTTGAATCTTCAATATGTCAAACAGATCAGCCGTAGAGGGAGCACCATACAAGAGGTCCTGTTAGTGCCTTGCCACGTGCTCCTAGCATCCAGGCTGGTTAAGTCAAAGTTCTGTATTGACTCATTTTACTTTTATACAGTGCTGTTTAGTTCACCTTGCAGAAGGTGACTGAAAGCAGTAATTCAGATGCACTGTGAAAGGAAATAAAGTATGCCTCGCTCATCTTTTCCATCTGTAGAAATCAAATTAGGAAGGACAATCAGCCTACAAGGTCCCAGCCGCTCCCTCCAAAATAGATACTGGCCTAGTCCCAGGTTTTTAGTTTGGCGAGAGGCTAAGAGGATGTAATCACCATTTGCAATGATGATTAATATACTGCCTGTGCTCAACAAAACCGTGATAGAAAAGTTATCAGTGGGTTAAGTCCTAGTGCCACTGAAGTCATCACAAACCCTCCTATCCTGAGATATCTGATCCCAAGCTACACTGCTGATAAATTCTGGCACTTCTCCAGTGTATCAGAAACTCATAGCACCCACGGGGGCCCCATGAAGAGTCTCCAGGGCTATTCATTGTCTTTTGGCATCAATCAGCTTCTCTGTGGCACTATAACGAAGCAATTTTCCAGCTGGTCGGTTGCTGTATGAGGGGAGAAATGTCTTTTCCAACTGATTTGTGTACCAGGTTCAGCATTTTAGAGTGGAAATATTCAGTGGGGCCCTCACACTTCAATATTGTCTTCAGAAACATGCAGC